GTGAACGGAGGGGAGGCATTTGACAAGTAGAGCACCTGAGGTATGGAGTAAGATCCAGTTGGGACTGCAGGGCTGGTAGGTGGGAGAGCTGATTCTCTGTTCTTGTCTGTCTAGGGGCTGTGAAATGCCACACACACGGGCCCCGAAGTGCAGTGCATGCCGGGGAGTGGGCTTGGCAGACGCGACCACTGTGTGGGTTTAGGGGCAGTCCTGTTAGAGGGTGGAGGAGCCTTCGCTCTTTCTACCTAAGGATCGAGCAGTTCAGTAACTTCGCATGGAGAGACCTTTTGCCCCATTGTGTTCAAGATTGCCAGATTTTCTTCCTCTTTTTTAAGAATTTGTCATTACAAAACAGCACGGTTAAGGTTTTCGGTGCCCTGTTCAGAGGTCTCCGTCCATCCTAGAGTTTTTAGAGTCACGGTCAAACTGTGTAATCTAGAAGTCCAGAACACGGTTTGAGCTGAGGCCTCGGTTTCTCCCACCTGGTGCTTCTGGAAGGTCGAGGGCAGTTGCAGGCCCTGGCTTGCAGGGGTGCTGCCTCATACCAGATCCGTGTGCCTGCAGGGAGGTGTACACCCTGTGATGCTGTGCTGGAGACCACGTAGGTGGTAAAGAGAGTTGTCGCTTCTGTGGTTAACAGAGGTGCTGCCTCTAACCGCTGTTGTGGCGATGGGTGTGCCCACACTCGATAGGGACACGGTGGACATAGGTTTCCCTTCCATTTCTGATTTTGGAGGCAAGTCTTTTAATTCCCAAGAGGTTTCAGAATTGCTCGGACAGTGACCTCTGATGTTCTGGGACATGTCCGTGTTTGGGTGCCAGCTAGATCTCCCTTTGGCGGGAGCTGCTAACCCCTCTTGGCTGTCCGGCTGAGTTTTGTTCTTCTGCTTCCAAAGTTCTCAGGTTCCGGCCTGGGAACCTGAATCCCATTGCTGAAGGGTACAAAGTGATACTTTGGTGTTCTGATTCTCTTATAGCTCATCTGTTTAAAAGGGAAAAAAAAGAGAGAGAGAGAGAGAGAAGGATCCTCAGGTCAGCAGGTCCTTACAGAGGAGATGTGCAAGGATCGAGTTTGAGATCCCAAGTTCATTTCCAGCTACCCGAAAAACAAAACAAATCACAAACAAAGAAAATGGTTGTCTTGCAGTCCTGGGAAAGGGGGGTGGGTGGGCTGGCGGAGAAGATTTGTTGTTGGTCTTATAGCTCCAGCTACAAAGACCAAACCATTCTATCTGTTTGGTTAATTTAGCAGATTACCCAGTTGTTAAACTGACCAATTTAAAAAATGCCCAGCTTGCTAGCCGCTTTGTGCTTGTGGTCGGCCTGTGATCCGGGCTCCTCCTCCACCGCAGGGGTCCGGGCCTCCTGCAGGAGGAGCTTCCCGGGGAGGAGGGGTGGCTGAGCCCGGGAACGGCCCCAGGGGGCCTGGAGGAGGATCTCTGTCTTCTCTTTACCACCACCTCCCACCCCCCCCCCTTCTGAAGACTCCTTGAAACAAAGGGCTTTTATTTAGTAAACATCTCACCCTGCTTGGAAGTAGTGTCCTGAGTTTGTTGGTGGGGTGCAGGGAAAGGGGGTGTCGAGTCGGCCCCCCCTTCGATTCTGGGTAAGGGGCTGGGGTGCTTCTCTGGCCTTGTGTGTCTTTTTCAACTCTTAACTTTCCCTTTGTTTCCAGGGCCTCTTGAACCTGGTCAGAGAGGTCCTGCTGAGCTGGCCTGCTGTGTCTCTCCTTGAGCCTCCCGGAGAGACGGTGAGACTCACTTTCCCAGGCCCCCCAAGGCTGCTGCCGGCAGATCCAAAAAGGAGTCCAGCAAGGGTGGGCCAGCCGGGCCTGAGCCTGGGTGGCACCTCTCTCTGTCCCCTTCCCACCCAGCCCAGATCAAAGGAACCTCCTCGGGGAGCAGGGAAATACTTCTCCCAACATCCCCACCAGTGAGTAAACAACCAGGGCCCCTTGCAGCTTTTGAAGCGCGGTGCTTCAGGCCCGGAGGAATGCAGAACATTTCATTTTAGGAGTGGACTTAGGTTTCCACTGCTTTCGGTATTTGCAAATTCGAAACAAATGCCCTCATTTAGCAGCAGGCAGGCTGGGCAGTAAACGGGGGCTGTTTAAGGGCGTTTATGGCTGTCACAGGTATTTGCGGGTAGAGGGACCCCAGCAGGTTTGGGAAAGGACAGAGGGTTTATGGATAGGTGGGTTGTACAAAGACCCCAGCCAGGTCTCTGGTAGAGGGTGGTTGTTAGGTGGGCTTTGTCATAAAAAGCTTTGCCGCCTCCTGGCTCCCCCAGGAAGTATCTCCTTCTGGCAGACAAAGAGGTTTGAGATGGTGTTTATCCCCCTGGGGCTGATGCGAAGGGCCTTGTCCCTCTCCTTTGGCTGCCAAAGTATCAGATTTCCAGTGAACCCTGCCTTTCCCACCCCCGCAGCTTGAAAGGCTCATTAAATGTGCTTTATATATAACAAGTTGGCTGCGAGGTCCCCCCTCACTTCCAGCCAGTTTTGTGAGGAAGGAGCTAGGAAAACCTGTTTTCCTTTTGTTGTTGTTTCTGGAAGTAGATCTGTAAGGAGCAATTGCAAAAAGACCCTGATTTTAGCAATCAGCCAAGCAAGGGTTATTTGCCTTTGATGGGGCAGCTTAGCTGGGGTTGATCTGCCCGAGGCCTGGGGGTGCCACCTGCCTGGGCCAGGGAAATTCAGAAATCTGTTTAGGATGGGGCGCCTGGGTGGCTCAGTCCTTGAGCATCTGCCTTTGGCTCGGGTCATGATCCCGGGGTCCTGAGAGTGAGCCCCGCTTAGCGGGGAGCCTGCTTCTCCCTCTCCCACTCCCCCTGCCTCCTCCTGCTCTTGCTGTGTCTCTGTCAAATTAAAAAAAAAAAAAAAAAAAAAAAAAAGGAAAGAAAGAAATCTGTTTAGGAATGGAGTTCTGGCTTCACAACTTGTTCCCCAAGAGACCCTAGAGCTTCAGTTTCCCTTTTGTAAGATGAGGGTCATAATACCAACCCCATTAGGGTACTTGTAAGGATTCCGTGAGACAGTACAGTCTGTCTTTCATCATCTCTAAGGTGCTCTTTTTTTTTTTTTTCCCCCCAGTTTCACACCTTTGAAGCCTGGTGGTAACATAATCAATTATGTCCTATTGTGTCTTAGTTTAACTGGGACCATCTCCTTTTAGCGGAACACAGATAACAGTGCATCTTAAAATTGGTGACACCTTTGAAATTCAGTGTATGAGAAGGACTTAGACTGTCCTAGAGTGAATCATAAAAGATAGTTATCATATGAGGGTGATTTATTTACAGGTCTGCTTTTGTTTGCCATCCACCAGTAACTTTCAGTAGAAACTGTTTCCTTTTTAGTCTGGCACATAAATAACAAATGATGCTTAAGGCACCAGGCATCATGCTAGGTTGAGTATGTGAGAGGGTGGGGGGAGGCACTGTAAGTCTTCAGAAGGCAAGAGATGTCTAGAAAAGGAGGCGGATGTCCCTAGGAGGGCAGACAGACAATTATGGAAAGAAAATCCCTTTCTAATGGTAGAGTCTCCACTTTGAAAAGCTGGGCTATTCCTGGGGGAGGCTAGAGACTCATTCCAGGAATGGATCGTCTGGGAGGCACATCAAGAAGGAACCAGAAGAGAGTAATTAACAATGCAAGGATGCAGAGAAGCACCAAAGAAGGGGGACCCAGAAAATGCCAGGCACTCGGAGGATGGATCCGTGAGTGGGGGCAGGCAGGAGACAGACAGGAGCTGGTAGCATTTCCTTCCCCTCCCAGGCTGTACAGTGGTGTGGGTTTGAGCCAAGCTTTGTGGAGACAACTGGTGCCATTCATTCTGCTTTGTGCTATCTAGGCGTTTGCTTGAGAGCACCTTCCTTCCCCACCCCCAGGACTAGAGTGGCCCAAAGGCTGGGAGTTCATCATTTGCTTGAGTTCTGGTTTATCTGATGGTAGGATGGATTAACTGCAGAGTTGGGGTTTAGATGGTAGACAGAGGAAGAGATCTCTTTCATATGCATTAGTGAAAGTAAAGAGCAAAACTTTTTGATTTCCTTTTTTTAAAAATGGATTGCTGTGTAAGCCTTCCAGATGTTTACTTCTACCTTATAGGGGTTTCAAAATACATTCTTTCTGTGTTGTTGTCCAGAATTTTAACCCTCAGTAGGTGTGCCCAGCTAGGAAAGGGTCTGATTAATGGATCATTTCTGGAAGGCAAGAACTTAGAAGTCCCAGGGTCTAGGAGACGCAGCTCCTGTGTGAAGTGAATGCCCTTTTGTGCTTCCGTTGGCTTCCTTTGGCTTCCTTGGCAGTGTCTTGAAGAAGAATAAGGTATTGTGGCAGATGTGTCTTGAACAATCAGGAAGAATGGTTTTGAGGTTAAGGAAATTCCAGTGCTCTTCTCCTAAAAGCCTTTGATGTAGTGGTTATTTAAATCCTCAAAAAGGGCATTTTTGAGAATATAGGCCCTCTGAAACTCAGTGTGAAGTGTTCTTCCGGGGAAGCCGGCTTCTCTGTCCTGTGAGGATTGAAAAGAGGGAGTGGTGCTTTTCAAACCAGGTCAGCAAAGACTTTGAAGCCCTTTTTATATCTCGGACACCCAGAGAGATACCTGTGGGCCCTCAGTGCTCCTGATTTTGGTCAGTTTGGGTCTAACATCCCCTATTCCTTATTTACATCCACAACCAGAACAACCTAGAGAGGACTTGGATGGACCTCTGGGGGTCTCTTGCCAGCTGCTGGCCTCAGGGGTGCTGGCTGTGGCGTTAACAGCTGCTTGTTCTGGTCCAGGCTGCTGCCCCAGCCCCAGGGAGAAGTGTTGATGGGGCATATGATCAGGACGATGGGAACGGCAAATCCCCCTGAGCCCATGTTGGAAGTGAATTAGCGGAAGGTTGCTCTTAGACTCCTGACAAATTGCTTTCAGTTCCTGCGGCCAAAAAGAGAACTCTGAAAACAGGGTGTAAATTGGGTTATTTACACTCCCTCTGTTTTTGTTGCTGCCATGAAGTTGGTGAAGGAGGGCATGGGTCCAAGTGAGCTTTTCAGGTTCTTGGTTGCTCTGTTCCTCGGGTACCTGGCATCAGGTGAGGAGGCGGTGGGGGTGGGCGTGTCAAAGTATAATGGCCTTGAATGCGGGATGTATGGTGACCGGACAGGCCTTTGAGGTGCCCGGGACCAACCCCTTTGATTAGATCAAAGAAATACCTTTTGTTTTTCCGCTCACACTTTCCTCTGCCCTGCAGCCAGAGTTATAAAGAGGTGGAGTTGTGAGGGTCTGCATCTGGTGGCCAGGGTGGTGAGTGGAGGGGGGCGGTGAGGGAGGGGTCTTCCCTCCTGCTGAGCACTTCCTGCCTTCGGCGCCTGCTGCCCTTGGTGTGCGGGGGGTCTGCCTGGGCTAGCCTGGGCACCTCAGGTTTTGCTGGGCCGCTGCCCGGTAGGGCCCTGCCTGAGCTGGGCTGTAAGCCGGTGAAACCAGCCACACAAAGACGGATTTCACTCCAGGCTAAGTGTTTTGTTGCTGAATCATTTGCATTCATTAAAAGTAGTGAAGGGCCAGTGATATTTAAGGCAACAGGACCGGTTTGCTGGAGGCCGCTGCCTTAGAACCTCATTAAGAATTCTTGGGGCGGGGGAAGAGGATAGGCGCAACTCATTCAAAGCTTACTTAACTTCTGACTGTTTTGGGCATAGGCCAGCTACTAAAATATGAAAAATGTTTGCCCAGCAGCCCCCAGTGCTTGGCCAGACTGCCCTGGCCAAAGAAAACACACACTTACAATTCATTATTTAGCCTCCTCCTGTGAGCAAGCTTGTGTCTCTTCCTCCCCTGGGACCTTGCTGCGTTGGGGGCACGGGGCAGGGGAGTGCGGGGGTCCACAGAGGAGGCGCAGGAAGACTCCTACCTATTTTAAGAGGAAGCTTGGTGCAGGGGTGCTTGGGTGGCTCAGTGGGTTAAGCCTCTGCCTTCGGCTCAGGTCATGATCTTGGGGTCCTAGGATCGGCCCCACATCGGGCTCTCTGCTCGACGGGGAGCCTACTTCCTCCTCTCTCTCTGACTGCCTCTCTGCCTACTTGTGATCTCTCTGTCAAATAAATAAATAAAATTTTAGAAAAAAAAAAAAAAGAGGCAGATCCCCACCCCCCTCCCCCAGGTTATTTGACTCATTCCCTACTGATGGATTTTAGGGTGTTTCTGAGGATTTGCTATTTAAAACAGTGCCATCAGAAATGTCCTTGTACCTACCTTTGCCCTTGTGCTTGCCTGTCTGTAGGATAAATTCCCAGAGATGGAGCTGCTCTGCCAAAAGGAATGAACATAATCAAACTTGTGTCCAACGTTCTACACTTACGTAATTTTTCTGAAGAGGGAGTTTTTAGCTTTCATCAAATTTCTTTTCTTTTTAAAAAAGATTTATTTATTTTTAAAGATTTTATTCATTATTCATTTGAGAGAGAGAGAGAGAGTGTGTGTGGGAGGGGGTAGGAGGGAGAGGCAGAGGGAGAAGCAGACTCCCCACTGAGCAGGGAGCCCAGTGGGGGCCATCCCAGGATCTGAAGATCATGACCCAAGCTAAAGGGAGATGCTTAACCATCTGAGCCACCCAGGCGCCCCTTTAAAGATTTTATTTATTTGAGAGAGAGCGCACACAGGAGCAAGGGGAGGGGCAGAGGGAGAAGCAGACTTCCCGCTGACCAGACAGCCCCATGCGGCACTGATCCCAGGACCTTGAGATCATAACCTGAGTCGAAGGCAGCCACTTAACCGAGGGAGCCACCCAGGTGCCCCTTTCATCAAAACAGCACTATTCAGTAGGCCTGCAGAAAATCACACAGAATAACATGTGAAAACAGGTGCGCATGGTTCACATGTGGAGCATTGCTAGGGGGACCAGAGAATTTACCGTCCAGACGGGGACATTATTAATAATTACGCCAAGATAGCCAGCACCTATCAGGGATGTTCCGGGAAATTTGGGAGTGTGATAGCCCAGTGCCCACCAAGGTTCTCATTCCCTCATTTTTGAGGCCATGTGTGTTCTCTGTTCTACACCATGTAGCTTTAAATGACCTGCTCCTCTTCATTTTCCTTTCTGTCAGATGTATTCTTGTTGTCGCCCCCAACTTGATGATGGACATAGCAGGGTGGCTTGAGTTCCTGTCATCTGTCTTCTCACAGGCTGGGTAACCCTGCTCTCAGTGTTCCATGGTTGCTCCAGAAGCTGGATTCCACAGACTGGAATTCTAGTTCTGGAAGCAGTTTAACTTTTCTGAACTCTGTTCTTTATCTGTAGGATGAACATGATAATGGCCAGCTCAGAGGCTCTGGTGAGGGTCTTTGCAGGAAGGTGTGTGTGTGGAGTGAGGGGTGGGGGCTGTTGTGGTGTTGCCCTTGTTTTGTGGCCGGTGAGCTCCAGGGACATTTACAACTCCTCATGGATGTATGCTTGGAGCCTGTAGGCTCTGCTGGCTGTCTGGATTTGTTTTTTTCTGCTTCTTCATTTATTGCTGTCCCTTAATCGCTCTCCTAGCTTCTCCCTTCCCTTCCATCCCATTGCCCGTGGCTTAGTTCAGTTCTTGTCATTTCTTCCTTGGAATACTGCTGGAAAAAAGAAGTGATTTTTTTTTTTTTTTTTTAAGGCAGCATCTCCCCCCATCCCCCCACCCCCAAATCAAGAAGATATGTATTTTATGAAACCTGAGATGGAAAGAAAAAATCAGATGAGAAGCAACAGATAGAGATCAAAAGGAAGCTGACCAAGAAGGGGGAGGAGATAAATACGGGACTGGCTGAGGTAACAAATAGGTATAAGGAAACAAATGCAATAGCAGAAGTAAGTTTCCAGCATAATCTTTAAAGGGCCTAATGGACTCTACGATTAACCTAATCAATGCCATGTAGTAGTAGAGCTCTCCGAATCCAGAGGAAAATGTACAGTGAGATGAAAATGATGAAAAAAATGTGATAATTAGAGAAATAGATTCAAGAGTTTAAAAAGCAATGAACAGGGGCACCTGGGTGACTCAGTCGGTTACATGTCGGACTCTTGGTTTCAGCTTAGGTCGTGATCTCGGGATCATGAGATCCAGCCCCACTATGGGCTCTGCCCTCAGGGGGTTAGTCTGCTGGAGATTCTCTCTCCTCCTCCCCCACCCCCATTCTTTCTCTCTGTCTCTCTCAAATAAATATTTCTTTTTTTTTTTTTTAAGATTTTATTTACTTATTTGACAGAGATCGCAAGTAGGCAGAGAGACAGGCAGAGAGAGAAGAGGGAGCAGGTTCCCCTCTGAGCAGAGAGCCCGATGCGGGGCTCGATCCTAGGACCTGAGATCATGACCTGAGCCGAAGGCAGAGGCTTTAACCCACTGAGCCACCCAGGAGCGAGCCCCTATTTGTTTAAATTTTATTTACTTATTTGTCAGAGCCTAAGGAGGGGGAGCAGCAAGCAGAGGGAGAGGGAGAAGCAGGCTCCCCCGCAGAGCAGGACCCTGATTTGGGGCTCAGTCCCAGGACCCTGGGATCACGACCTGAGCGAAAGGCAGTCACTTAACTGACTGAGCCACCCAGGCTTCTGAGAAAAAGAGGCTTCAACCTCATTCTTGGCTTTACCACAATTTTTTGAGCACATACGGGGCACCTGAGAGATACTGGGGACATGTAGCAGGGAGTGAGACAGAGCTCACTGTTCAATGAGGAGGGCATTCAGAAATACCTACTAATAATCAGAGCTGTTATTGCAATAGAAAGATTTAAAAAGTTTATCGCAGTTTACCATGTTCAGTGCCATGCTAAGCAGTCTATGCAAGGAAAACATAAATTACCGAAGTTTATTCAGGAACCATTAGAATGACTAAGTGAGTGACCAGTGTCTATTGGAAACAATTGGAAGAAAGTAAAAACAACTAAATAAAACCCAGAGCTGTTAAGTCTGAAGGCATTGACAGGAAATTTCAAAATGCTGAGGAAATAGAGCTTTCTGATGCAAAAAGACTGTCTCTGAGCCCAAGAACAGATGGATGGCCGCCCCAACGCCTGTCACAACGTTGCTACAGCCTTGTTTCTGAATGCTGACTGATAGTGCAGAAGAGAGAAGCACACTGCTTAGAGAGAGAGTGGTGTCAAAGTCTAATATAGAATACTGTCAAGTTCCATCTAATAATATGTTAAAGGGTAATATACCATAAACAACTAAAGGATTTATTCCAAAGATGCACAGGTAGTTTAATCAAATAGAATTCATTAGTATAGGAAGACATAGTCACTGTGTCAAATGAACATCCATTCTTGATTTTTTTTTTTTTTTAAAGAAAAAAATTTTAAACTGGGGCGCCTGGGTGGCTCGGTGGGTTGAGCCGCTACCTTCAGCTCGGGTCGTGGTCCCAGGGTTCTGGGATCGAGTCCTGCATCTGGCTCTCTGCTTTGGCGGGGAGCCTGCCGGCCTCTCTGCCTGCTTGTGCTCTCTGTCTGTCAAGTAAATAAAATCTTACAAAAAAAAAAAAAAATTTTTTTTAAACCACAGCCCACCTTATACTTAAAAACGAAATTATAGGGGCACCCAGGTGGCTCAGTCAGTTGAGCATCCAACTCTTGATTTTGGCTCAGGTTATGATCTCAGAGTGGTGGGATTGAGGCCCATGTGGGTTTCCTCGCTCAGTGGGGAGTCTGCTTGAGATCCTCTCCCTCCCTTTCTAATTCTCCCCCGGCACTCTTGCTCGCTCGCTCTCAAGTAAATAAATAAATCTAAAAAAAAGAAAAGAAAAGAAACTAGAATGCTATTCTCATTAAAATAAAGAAGGTATTAGGGGCTGCCTGGGTGGCTCAGTGGGTTAAGCCTCTGCCTTCAGCTCAGGTCATGATCTCAGGGTCCTGGGATCGAGTCCCACATCAGGCTCTCTGCTAGGCAGGGAGCCTGCTTCCTCCTCTCTCTCTCTCTACTTGTGATCTCTCTCTGTCAAATAAATAAAATATTAAAAAAAATAAAGAAGGTATTATTACACTAACATAATATCACTACTATTTTAACATTCTCCTGGAAATTCTAGTTGAAATAATATTGTAATAAAGATGAAAGTAAAAATAAAGTTA